AGAAAAGGGGGGGGGGGGGGGGAAAAACTACAGACAGAAAGAAAAGGAAATATGAAAAGCTCTTGTGCTAGAAAGAGAGCTGCCAAACGGGAAACCGAAGGAGTGCAGCTTAGTGCTACCTTTGCAAGAAACACTGATTTTTCTTGCGGAGGCGGCAGAGAATAGCAATCCTAGACAGCCCCCCCCCCGCCCCTTTCAGACGTGAGGGGAAACTGGAGATAATTTCATCAAAACGAGCATCAATCCGAAAAGCGGCGGATTATCCCCGCCACAGGAAGTCATCATCTTAACCTTTTCGAATATTTAGGCAAAGCTTTTAGGAACCCGAACGTTATTTACAAGCCACAGCGTATCATCCTCCTAACAAACAAGCTCACTGCACTCAATTTATCTGAATTTGTTGTTATAGGGGGAAAAAATCTCACTCTATCGCTGGGAGGGCTATTTCCTTAGAGCATAAATAATTGCGGGAAGGACGGAAAAAAAGAATAACGAACACCCAAACGCTAAAACCAAATCGCGATTCCGCGGCAAGCGATCCCCTGAACTTACCATCTTGTAGCTGCAGCAGTCGCCTTCCCTCGAGCTGGCCCTTTAAGAGCCGGGGAGGGTCCTCCCCACCTCAGCCCCAAACCAGCGCCAGGTCCACTTACTGCGCATGGCCCGAGCACTCCCTGAGCCAATCAGTTGTATCGCTCGGCTCTGCCAGCGGCCTCCCCCAGCTACGGTGAGCGAGAGGCGGTCACTCCGGAGCTCCTTCTCATGTGGGGATCATTAACTGCCTCCCTACTTCCTCCCGCCCGGGCGTCCGTGCACCCGCCCACGCCTAGAGAGGCCGGAGGATAAAGAGCGTCCATAGTCGATAATCTATACTTGCGGGCGGGGCGAGGGAGAATGCTTCCTCCTCGCTCCCTCTCCTCTCCGTTAACCAGAAGCAATGTTGCCATGGTAACCAACGAGCTTGCGTTCTTAAAAAAATGAGGCCATGGCACCCCCTTTCAAAAATGAAACAAGCCAAGCTATGCAAAATTAAATAATCTGATTACTCCTAAACTAAAAATAACAGTCACTTATGTTTGGGGCACATAAGCGTTATTTTAAAAATTCAAATTTAGCATTTAAAATTGTTAATGTTATCTCTACCATAGAGGTAGTCATGTTACAGCAAGGAAATCGTCTTACAGGCATATGCTGTCGGAGACTTAACCACTCCGTGACACAGAGACTCCTTTCACAAAGGCCTGTTCTAGCCTTCTGCAATCTGGTGTCTTCATGATGAGCTGGACTACAGTTCCCATCATCCCCAGCCAGCAGTGCATCCATATTAGCTCAACCTGGTTTGAATTATAATCCAACATATCTGGAGAATACCAGTTCTGGAGAATCTGGGTTTTATGTTATAATCAATTTGTTATTCTGAAACAGTGTTTCTCAACCTTGACCACTTTTAAGATGTGTGGACTTCAACTTTCAGAATTCTGGGAGTTAAAGTCCACACTGGCT